AAATGGCCCCTTCCAATCCTCAGAACCTGGGATTATGTTACCTTAGGTGGCAGGAAGAGACTTGGCAGGTGTGATCAAGGTTAAAGGACCTGGAGGGTGGGGAGTGAGCCTGGATTACTCAGGTAAACCCAGTCTAACCGCTAGCAGCATTAAAAGCAGAGAACCTTTCCCAGTGTGTCCAAGACATGATGGGAGAAGCGGAACCAGAGAGATGCCAACTTGCTGGAGGGAGAGGGCCCTCTGGAAAACAGCACCTTGGAAAAGACAAGGAAATGGAGTCGCCCCTAGAGCTTCCAGAAAGTTCTTCCAGAAAGAGGCTTCCCAGAGCAGCCCTGTCAACATCTTGATTTTAGCCCAAGGAGACCTGTGTTGGATTTCTGACAGAGTCTGTAAGATGATCAGTCTGGTTTTCAACAACTAAGTTTGTGGTCGTTTCTTACAGCAGCAACAAAACACTCATATGTGTGCATTAAAACCCCACTCACTTCCTTTTAATGGGGTTTCAGGACCTGGAGAAATTAAATGTGTGTATTCAATCCACCATCTTTAACCAGATGTCTCTGCTCACATCTGCTTGTGTCTCTACACCTTTATGAACTGTCCTTATCCAAGTCACTTTCAATGTCTGTGCTGCTGAACCTAATCCCGTTTTCCTTGGCTGTTCAGCATCTTGGAAGCCAACTGTCCACCTCTCTCTCCTCTTGGTTTCCGTGAATGCCCACACCCCTGGTTTTCCTCCTGCTTTACTTCTCTTCCACCCTTGTCAGCTTCTCCTCCTCGTGACCTCAAAGATGTGGAGTTCCCCAGGGCTCCATCATGGGAGCTCCCCTTTCTCCCACTCCCTCCAGTGCAACCTCATGGGTTTCAATGCCATAGTCAGGTTGGTGTCTGTGATATCCTATCACCAACCAAGAGACTCCAGCTTTGAGCTGCAGACTCAGTGTCAAATCCTCACTTGATATCTTCACTTGGACATCTCATGTGCTTCATGTGTTGAAAACATCTGTGGCCGAATTCTTGAGTTTCCCACCAAGCATCTTCCCTCCCAAGACTTCCTATCCTCCACGTACTTACCCAACTCAGAAACCTGAGATGCATCTTTGATTCTTTTCTTCCTTTTTTTTTAATAATTTTTTTTCAGTTTTTTAGGTTTTTGTTGTGTGTGTGTGTGTGTGTGTGTGTAGGGGGGAGGTAATTGGGTTTATTTATTTAGTTAGTTTTTTTAGAGGAGGTACTGGGGATTGAACCCAGGACCTCATTCATGCTAAGCATGTTTTCTACCACTTTGAGCTCTACCCTCCCCACTCCCTTCTTCCTTTAACCCGTCTGCAAACCCTGTCTCTTAAATATTTCTAGACGGCATCTATTTCCACCATTTCCAAGGTCCACCTTGGTCCAGGCCAACGTCATGACTTCTCCATCATCACCACGACCCCCATGCTGGTTTCCTGAGTCCACTCTGGCCTGGCTGCTGTGGATTCTCCCCAGAACAGCCCAAGGGATCACTGAAGATGTCCATCAAATTTTATTGCTTCCCCGACTTAAAAGCCTCTAAAACTTTCTCAATTCTTTCCAGAGTAGAATCCATCCTCCTCACCATGGCCCACAAGACCTCTGTGATCCAGCCCATCCCTGTCTCTCCCCATCACTCATGTCACTCTCCCCATCATTCGCTTTGCAATAGCCATGCTGACCTGATATTTTCTCACACTCCCCAAACTCCAGCCTGCCTTTGGGCCTTTGCACTCTCTGTTCTCTGTGCTTGGAATGCGCTTCCCCCTACTCTGCCCAGCTCCTTCTCATCCTTGAGGTCTCAGATGACTTGTCCCTACCTCCCCTTCCCCTTTTATGCAAAGTGGATGTCTCCCCCACCATCCCTCTGGTTATTTCCTTACCACTGGGTTTTGATCAGGGATGATCGCATTTGTTTACTGGTTTACTTGTGTTTTGTTTGACTCCCCCATTTGATGGAAGCCCAGGCGAATGTAGGACTGCTATCTTCACCGTCCAGTTTCTAGTGCTAGTCTACTGAGGGTGCTGGGTGAAATTTAGAGAATGAATGGATGCATCTCCCATGAACACGCTGGGCACCTGTGTCGTGCTGGCTAGTTTCATGTATACCGGCTATGTCATTTTCACAACAGGACTACATTTCCCAGTTTCTTTTGCACTCAGCTGCTCTAGCCAAGGAGTGTGGGCAGAAGTGAAGTAGGCCACTTGCAGCTTTGGCTCAGAAAACCCTCCCATGTGAGCTTCACCCTCTTTCTTCTTCATCTGTATACAGAGAATCTGGCAGTGGATTCAGAGGCCCTGGATGATGACAGAGTCGTAAGGTGGGAGGAGCCTGGGTCCCCAAAGGACTGAGTGGAGCAAAGTCTCCCCCACACCCAGCCCCCTCTAGACTTTCCACGAGCAGGACAGGAGGCTCTGTGGTGTGAAGCCGCATGGTTCCGGGCCTGTTTGTTAAGGCATGGAGCCTCATCTTAGTTACACACACACATTCAAGCACCAGATGGAGGTGGCTGTTGGGTGATGCTTTTGCTGACAAGTGTTCATCAAATGCGGGCGTGTTCTCAGTGGGGCAGTTTCTTGCATCATCTCACAACAGAAGCTGAGGGCACGATGTTCACACCTCAGTGACAGCACATTGTAATCGTTCCTGTGTGCTGCATGTCCTCACTGGGCTCTTCCCAGGCAGTGCCTGTGTCCTGTTCATTGCAGTGGCCTCAGCATCCAGTCCCCAGGTGGACTCGGGGAAAATTTGTTGAATTCACAAATGAGTGAATTGGTTGTCTGCACCCCACATGGCTTCTCTGTCCCTAAAGGTGCCCAAGCTAGTCCAATTCTTTAATTTTACAGAGGCTCAAAGAGAAGACATGACTTCCCCAGAGTCCCAGAGAAGCAGAATTAGCAATGCCCTGGGGCTGCTCAAGACGGCAGCTATTGGGAGTGAATCCTGGCACCTTCCAGGGGCTGGAGAAAGGCTGGGAGGAGAGGGGTTGGCTGGCAGGCTCCTCTAAACCCCCAAGGTGACCCCACCAAACCTCACTGCCCACTGCCCCTCCTCCAGTAGGAAAGAAACACTCCGGAGCCTTCCCTCCCACCTTCCCTGCTAGCCCTGCCTGGCTCCTGCAGCCTGGGCGTCCACATCACTCAGTATTTTTAGCTTCACCACCTGGCACCTGTGGTCACTGTCTCTGCCCAGCCTGGCAGTGTCCCCTCTTGAAGTCTTAAAGGGCCAGCGCCCACCAACTGGAAAGGAGACTGGGTTCTGTAAACACAGGCCACCATACCGCTGGGGCAGGAGGCAGAGGGGCATGCCCTACAGGGGGAGTCCCCAAAGTTTGAGGGGGAGATGGGGGAATGAGGGAAGAGGGCAGGATCTCCTGGCTGCCTGATCTCATTCTGGGGTTTCCCAAAGGCTGGTTTGCTCAAGCTGCGGGGGGTGGGGAGGGGCTGATTAAAATTACACATCCATCCCCTCTAACACTTGAGGCCACAAAGTCTCCAGGGCAGGGCCTAGAAGTGTGTATTTTTAAATAGTCAACTCAGTGATTCTAATGTCCTGCCTCCCCACATCATATTCATTCATTCAACAAGGATTTTGAGCTCCTGTTGTGAAAATAGTGATGCTCTTAGGAGTTCATTGCTTAGGAGTTTGAGAAACACTTCCACACCTGTGATCTCACTGAATCACGTAAGTCAGCCCCATTTTGCTTCGAGCCCTCCCCATCATTCACTCCATTGCTTACAGATCGAGTCCTTGGCTCAGCAGTCAAGGCCCCTGGTGATCTGGCCCCTGTGGCCCTGCCAGCCCCATGTCCACCATGCCCACACAATTTCTTTCTCATACCACCAAGCCTTTGCTCTTGCCAG